TGACAACCAAGGAGGGAAGAGCTCCCTTCAACTCAGCTGGGTCTCCAGGATCACTGGTCAGGATGCAGAGCATCACCCTCAGAAGCTCTAGCCTTTTTGTAGAAAAGCCCTTCCCCAGTCCAGTTCCAGCCCTAGCCACCTAAAGACAGTTTTATGTCTTCCTTTCTCACTTTCTTTTTTTCTTTTGAGAGAGAGAGAGAGAGAGAGAAAGAGAGAGAGAGAGAGAGGAAAACATTGATTTATTGTTCCATTTATTTATGCATTCATTGGTTGTTTCTTGTATGTGCCCTGACTGGGCATCAAATCTACAACCTTGACATATCAGGATGAAGCTCTAACCACTGAGATACCCAGCCAGGGCTTTGACTTCTATTTCTTTCTCATGCCTTATTGTGTTGACTGGTACTGCTAGTACCATGCTGTTAAGAGCAGATGCTTTTTCTTGTTGCCTACCTTTGGGAAGCAGACAGGCAGTCTCTTACCATGAAATATGATGTTAACTATGAGTTTGTTACAGGCACCCTTTCTCAGGTAATATAATTCCCTCCGATTCTCAGTTTGCTGAGAACTTTTATAAAAGATGGGTTTTCAATTTTGTCAAATGCTTTTTCTGCATCTATTGACATGATCATCTGGTTTTTCACATTTATTCTGGTAATGGGCTGCTTTGTTTCTGTTTTTGCTTTGGGAGGCTGCAAAAGCATGATTTAGAAACTAAGTTTTATCTTTGCCAGCAATTTATGTACAACAGATTTGCTGTGAGAAGTACACTGAGTGGCCAGATTATGATGATCTCTGAATGCATAATAATCTGGCCACTCAGTGTATATCCTATATAATAGAAGGATAATATGCAAATTGTCCCTTCAGCCAGGAGTTCGACCAGCAAGCAGGTCAGTCAACTGCCCATGTCCCCTCCCCCTGGCCAGGCTGGCCAGACCCCATCCATGCACGAATTTATGCACCAGGCCTCTAATACATATACCGAGTGGCCAGATTATTATGCGTTCAGAGATCATAACAATCTGGCCACTCAGTGTATAATTATTTCACAATCCAGTCGTATACAGGGTAGTTCTTAGTAAGTCAAATAAAGAAATGACTTATTCCAAACAAATGACAGATTAATCACACTACTGTTCCCGGCAAGGGGCGGTGAAGGAATAGAGTCCAAATTTCCACAGAGGTGCATCTTTTGATGTGAGTAGGCACTGGGAGCAATGGCAACCAAGAGCTGACTTCTGCTGCCAGCTCAAAAGTCTAAGTCCTGGGTTGCTAGGGCATGTTGCTAGGGAACAAAGATGCCAACGTTGGTGGTGGGCTGATCTCTTTCACCTGGGGCTGAGGTATTTGTCACCACTGTCTTCCCAGAGAACCTCACCACGACAGGACAGGTACCCGAGGGTCTTCTGGACATTTTTATATTAGCAGGAGTCCCTCCGTCCCCACTGAAACTCTTAGCTAGTCCTCCCAGGTGCTCAGTATTTATTCTCTAAAGGTCCCCTGGCTGTAGCTGCTACCCCACACGTTCTAATGGATAAGCCCCAGGGGGCCCAGAGGCTGCTGACTGCTTATCAGTGACAACAGATGTAAAACCATAACATCCTGGCAAGACTTACATCATTCTTATATCAAAGCACCTTTTTTTCTTTGTCATAAACAGGTGGATTGGAAATCATATTGAAGCAGTACACAACGTATGCTGAACTTTATTGATTGATTTTGGAACGTTAAACCAACCTCAGATTCCTGGGGCATATCTCATTTGACCCTGAAATATTATCCCGTAGAGCAGTGCTTCCCAAACTTTTGACATATGTGTACTTCTACAATTTTCGTAACGCTGAGATCCCTCATACTCATGAGAACGTAGAATTAGGTGCAGCTAAGCACGGTGCAGTGCATATCCCCACCGAACTCCAGTGCAACACCAAACTCTTCCTGTACCCCTGGGGGTACGCGTACCACACTTTGGGAAACACTGCTGTAGAGAGTGCCTGGGAAGGCACATGGGCATTTCTTTCACTATTGTCAGCTGAAGCCAGTGGTGTAGGCAAAGCCACATCCTGGAGACACACTTTGCCAGAGGCAGGAGTGTTGTCAGCTTGACCTTCAGCCCAGGTGCCAGGGGGTGGGTTTTGTTGTCTAAATCAAGCCAAGCACCAGGAATGAATAGGGCTCTGACTCCGGCCCACCCAAGAATTCGCATAATCTCCTTTGTCATGGGCTTCAGTAAAACTTCCTGGTATTTTGCTGTGTAAAATAATCACACTGTATGAGCTGGGGGTGGGGGGTGGGAGGGTGTCCTTGCCCCTGTCAGAGGACAGCTGTCCTACTGGCCCCAGCTTTTTGCTTCTATTTCTGTGTCTGTCTCTTTCATTTTCTCAATCCCCAGCTGCCCCTACTCTCTAGCCGCACTGGATGCAGAAAAGACAGAAATATTCACATCATCCCTTTTACCTATGGCTGGATCTGATTGCTACCATTTTATATTTTTATCCATTTTAATCCTTGCTGTATCCTCAGAGCCTAGAACACTGACTGGAACAGAGCAAAAGCTCAACAAATACGTGCTGAATGGGTGGATGAATGGACGGATGGATGGATGAATCGGATAGCTCCCTCTGGCCGGCCCGCAGCGGAAGGGAGCTCCCTAGGCGACAGCATGTCCCAGAGCACGGAGGCATAAAAGGCTCGCATCAGCCGCTAGCTGGCTGTGTGACCTTGAGCAACTCTATCCTGCTGGTCCACAGAAACAGAACGAAAACAACAGGCTACACACATTGTGAGGACCCGACAGGACAACATACATGGAAGACCTTGGAAAAAGTCCAACCCAAATGCAGCATAACTATGAACAAGCAGGTGGGGAGGCCTGTTTATGTGTTTAGCTCAGCCCTAGACTGGCAATCCCCCCCCACTCCCCGCCCCCCGAAAAAAAGGCAAGAGGCGGGGTGCTTGCCTTGGTGTCAGAGGCCTGGGTCCCAGCCTCCAGGACCAGTGAGAGAGCATCCAAGGACAGCAGTGTCTCCTTGGGTTTAGAGTTTTACCCAGGTGGGCACAGCTCCCGCCTGGCTAACGGGGTCGTATTACTTTCCCCTCCTCTTTCCTTCTGCCTCAGAAACCTTCAGCTGAGACCCACACGGACTTCCTAACCACCAAAGCAAGGGAAGATCCAGAAAGCATCGAAAACACTTTTTCTCACTAAACATAAAAATATTTAGCCTGCCTTCTTTCCTTCCTTTTCCCCAGGATGTGGAGTGCTGTGTGGCTTTTCCCTTTCTAGGCCTGGAAGTAATGGTTTTAATATAGAGTACTCACTGTATTTGCATTTTGGATGACTGCCCCTGAGAGTTGTTTTTAAAGAGTCCCAGCAATCAAATCCCCAGCTCCTGTGTTTGCACACGATTCCCCTTCTACTAAAGCTCTCTGTGTGTTTACACACAGGACGTCTGGAAGCTCCCATCTGGTCAAGGTACTGCTTTGACTGAAAAGGGCAGCAGCAGTGGAAGGAACAGAGAAGGGGTGGCGCTTTGGGAGAATTTTAGGAGATAGAAGTGCTAGGTGAGTGATGGACTTTTGGGAGATGAGAGAGGGAGAGAGAGAGAGAGAGAGAGAGAGAGAGAGAGAGAGAGAGAGAGAGAGATATGAGAAGAGAGGAGAGGAGAGGAGAGGAGAGGAGAGGAGAGGAGAGGAGAGGAGAGGAGAGGAGAGGAGAGGAGAGGAGAGGAGAGGAGAGGAGAGGAGAGGAGAGGAGAGGAGAGGAGAGGAGAGGAGAGGAGAGGAGAGGAGAGTTAGTTCAAGGTAACATGAAAGTTTCTGGCATTGGTGGCTGTGCAGATGGTGGTGTCATCATATTTCCAGGACAGGAAATAGAAGAGGCATGGAATGATGAGTTCAGTTAGGGACATTTACTCATTTCTTGGGCGTCACTGGCCTCAGATACTTTGCCAGGAGCAACTGTGAGCAAATGAAACAAGGACCCTGCACCCCTGAGATTGACATCCCACTGGCCAAAGGACAACTTAAACCAACTGATCCATAAAGTAACGGCAGAGACCTGCTCAAGGAAATTGCACGGAGCCATGTGACAGACGCGCTGCCAGGGTACCTTGGGAAGGCCTGCATGTGAGGGCCTGGAGGGGGGAAGACGCCAGGCTGAGGGTGACGGTGACCCAAGGACAGACAAGCAGAGAAGCAGTCTGGAGATGATCACCAACGACAGGCCAAAAAGCGTATTGCAGCGTGTAATGCCATTTCTGGAAAAATAAGAAATATACACAATTATACTAGGGGTACACTGGGGTTTTAGTGCTTTTGATTGTGTGTTTTTTTTCCCCCTAAACTGGGTGGTGAGTACAGAGCTGTGAAATGTCACATGTAATGTATATGCCTTCTTGCACATCGTGCGCATCACAAAGTCAACGAAAATATAGAATAAAAAAGTAAAAAGGCCATGGCTCCCCAGCCAGCCAGGCCCAGGTCCTCTGCCTACGAGCAGGTACCAGGCTGCTGAAGCCGGTTCTCCCTCCACCGCGAGGGCCCTGCCGGCCCCGCCCACTCTCGCGCTCCAAAGCGGAACCCCGCCCCGGGCTCTGCGGAGGCCCCGCCCACACACGCTCGTCGCCCAATGGGAGCACAGATCCGGGTCCACACCCCCGCCATTCACCGCCGCGGCGCGCGCCGCCGGGTGACGTCGGACCCGGCTCCCGCCACGTGACGGCCGCGCGGTGGTGTTCCACCGGACGCCGCGCCGCCGCCGCAGAGGCGGGTGAAGGGCCGGCGGCCTCGCCGCGGGGTGCGCGGGCCGAGGGAGCGGGTGGTGGGGACGCGCCTCATGGGGGCGGCGCCGGCGGGCGCCTGAGAGCAGCGGGGCCAGCGGAGCGGGCCGCCTCGCGCATCCTTCGAGCCGCCTCGCGCCGGCGGCACCGGCACCGGCACCGGCACCGGCACCGGCACTGGCACCGGCGGCGGCGGCGGGCCGCGAAACCGGCGCGGCCATGGCGACCGGCTCTCAGCAGAAGGAGAACACGCTGCTCCACCTCTTCGCCGGCGGGTGAGCGTCCCGGCCCGGCCCCCGCCCTCGGGGCGCCCTGGCTCCGGTTACCGGCCCTCCGAGGAGGAAGTCCCGGCGTCGGGGCGGCGAGGAGGCCCGGGAGGCGTCGGCCTCCCCCACCCCACCCCCACCCCACCCCCACCCCACCCCCACCCCGGGGTCCGCGTCCCCCGAGCGTGGCTTCGCCGGAGCCGCCGCATCCCCACGCCCCTCCCCCTCCGCGCGGCGTCGCCGGCGGTTCGTCCTTTTAGACAACAACCGGCTGCTGTGACCGTGTCACTCCGGGCGGCCCCGTCCCGCCCTGTCACCGCGTCCTCCCCGCCCGCCGCCCTGCGGTCCCTCCGCCGGGATCCCCCGCCCCGGGGCCCGGGGGCGATGGGTGCCCGGGTCGGCCCGGAGCCCCGCAGGGCAGCGCGGGGCCGATCACACGGCGGTGGGCTGAGCTGCCGGCTATCAGCCGGGGCCTGGGCAGCGCGGGCGACCGTGAAGCGGCCACAGCTGTGGGAGTGTGTGGGGGGCCCGCCGCCCCGGGAGAAAGTGAGGTCCGGGAAGCGTGTTGAAACGCCGCTTTCCTGCTGCTGGTAGACGCGGGCGTCCGAGGTGAGTCGTTTGTGTTTTGAGAGCCGCGTTCGGTGGATCGTCACGCGGCTGCGGCTGCGGCTGCTGCTGTTCAGTGGAGGCACCGCATTGTTGAGGAGGATGGGCGATCACAGGGTTCCTGACAGCTGGTTTGTTTGTGGTTGTTTTTTATTTTTATTTTTTTTAAATATATTTTATTGATTTTTTTACAGAGAGGAGGAGAGAGGGATAGAGAGCTAGAAACGTCGATGAGAGAGGAACATCGACCAGCTGCCTCTTGCACACACACCCCCCACTGGGGATGTGCCCGCAACCGATGTACATGCCCTTGACCGGAATCGAACTTGGGACCCTTCAGTCCGCAGACCGACGCTCTACCACTGAGCCAAACCGGTTTCGGCTGTTTTTTAGATGTGTTTTTTTATTGAGTTCAGAGAGGAAGGAAAAGGAGAGAGATAGAAACATCAATAATGAGAGAGAATCATTGATCGGCTGCCTATCGCGCGCACACACACACACACACCCCCAAACGGGGAATCAGGCCTCCACACAGGCATGTACCCTTGGCCGGAATCGAACCCAGGACCCTTCAGTCCGCAGGCTGATGCTCTATTCACTGAGCCAAGCCGGCTAGGGCTTATTTGTTTCTGCAGAAAATGGATGTTTCAATGTTTCTGAGTGTTAGTACTTGTTTTCTTCCCATACTGACCGGCCACCTGGTCGGTGGTGTTGGGTCCTTCTGGAGTCTCCCGTTTGTGTGGAGTCTTGCTGGCCTGGCACAGCAGTGTTTAAGGATCGGACATTCTGTTTAAAATCGAATTTATTCTGGCTTGTCATCTTGACTTGAGGATTTTAGTTGCAGCGTAGACTGCTACCTAGATATGGTCCTTGTTACAAACGAGTGATGGTTGAGAACTTACCTGTGAAAATAACTATGGTGTAAGGGTTCTGAGTTCTATGTGCTTATTGGAGGTGCTCAGACAGTTTCTTTGTTTTTCCAACCAAAGCATTCATATCTTCCCTATCATTCTCTCTCATCCTTGCACTTCGTCTCCCCATTGACATTTCAGCTTGGGAAAAGGGGGGTGGGCAGGCAGCAATTCTTAAATTTTAGCCAAGTATTAATTTGTCATTCTGGAGAATTCTAAACAAGTTGGCCATATTATTAGAGCCAAGAAGGGTGATTTTTTCTGATGATATTATACTCTGATTTTAATTTATTGTTTTTATGAGGTGGTCTCTTGAAAATTCGGTGTGTTTGGTACTGGAGCGTTGCCTGTTCCAGAGCAGTCTCCGGGAGGCTTGGCATAATGGATCACCCTGTCGGCATGAATCTCTGCCCGCCCTTCACAGTGCCCTCTGGCTGCTGATTCTCCTACCGGAAGCACCAGCCTGGTGATGGAGGAAAACTGATTAAAATGTAGGGAGTTTATTAGGGTAGTGCCTGCAGCCCTGAATGTAGCAGGATTTAGGTCCTTCATTAGCAGCACTTCAGATTTACTGAAGACACTCAAGAAAGAGAATAAATCTTCCAAAAGGAGGCTTTCAGAGTAACTGAGTGGATTTTGATGCCTTCCCACTAGCCTAAAATGCATTTCTTTCAGGGAAGAAGATTATAGGAGCCAAGTGTTGAATGGCATATTATATGGTTAAAATCAGTCAACCCCCAGCTTGGTCCAGTGGATGACATGCTGCTTTGCTGGAAGTAACTAGTTTCCAAGTTACTGGAATATTTCCAAAGAACAGCTCAGTTCCTTTGAAAAGAAGTCAGCCCCAGCTCCTCAAGTGTCACATGTCTCCTTTTATTGAATAGCCATTGGAAACTAACTAAAGCTTAATGCTGTTCCTCATTAATGGTACTGAATAAATATTACATCAGGTATTACAGGCTTATGAATGGATCAAGTTATTTTTAGATCCTCGAAAATAAAAGCTACACCCAAAACAACTCATTAGTCTTTCAGGTTTAATTATTTCTTTTTTAAAAGGCAGTTTTTAAGGTGAAAATAGCCCTACATTAAGTTGCAAATTATCTTTTTAATAAGAGTGATACCCTTCAAGAAAAGAACTGGAAAAAAAACCACCCACAAACCAATACTAAGAAATAAGCACTTTAGAAAAAGGTTCTGTGGACCAGATGTAATTCTGTACGTAATTTTGAAATAGGCTCGTATTTTCAGAATTGCTTTCTTCCTCCTAATATGTTACACTTTAATGGTAGTGACTTCGCCCGTGTACCTTGAGTGGAGACTTACTGTCCCGTGGTTGCAAATGAAGAGGTAAACCAATTCCAAGCATGACTGGAGTTCCTGTACTCAGATTACATAACTTATGATCTCTCACTGCTGTTTGTTTGTTTTTCCCCCCAATATAAATAACTAGACATCCTTAAGTGTAGCTGTGTAGTTCTTTGATGATTTCCTTTGGATAAACATCAGAAGTACAATTGCTGAGTCAAAACATATTTTTAAGGGTTTTTTTCAACTAATTTTTAAAAAATGTGTTTGTATTGATTTTTAGAGAGAGGGAAGGGTGAGGGATAGACAAAAACCTCAATGAGAACAATTGACTGGCTGCACACACCCCCTACTGGGAATGGAGCCTGCATCCTGGGCATGTGCCCTGACCAGGATTCCAACCGGTGACCTCTTGGTTCCTGGGGTGACACCTAACCGCTAAGACACATTGGCTGGACCATTTTTAAGGCTTTTGCTGCCTACCAGCAGGTTCATAAAACCATCTCTTAGGGTGGTGCCTTCTGTGTGAATGAACCTCATTGGATGCTGACTTTTAGTATGGTCTGTTTTTTGCTTTCTTTCCTCCTATCTCAAAATCTGGGTAGTATTATCAAAACTCAAATGTACTCACACAGATTTTATTGTTATTACATAACAAAACCCATTGTTGCTTTTCTACTATTTAAACTTAACGTGTCATTAAGAGAAACGGTAAAATTCACTCGGTGTCTAGGCCTTATGCCTGCTGAGGAAATCCCTTACATTCTCCCTGTCCGAGGACGGGCTCTGGTGCACTTGTAGGGTGAGGAGGTCCCTCCCCTGCTGAGCAAGCAGTAGCAGCAGCATCCGTTCTCCGCACCTGAAATAGACTAAGCTGTCATTAGCCCTGGAGGCTAATGGCCTAGATCCATGGACGGCCCCTTGAATGTGGCTCTTCCACAAAATACCACGGCCTGGGCGAGTCTATTTTGAAGAAGTGGCCTTAGAAGAAGTTTAAGTTTAAAAAATGTGGGTCTCAAAAGAAATTTCAATCGTTGTGCTATTGATATTTGGCTCTGTTGACTAATGAGTTTGCCGACCACTGGCCTAGATTATATGCTTTAGGTCTTATTTTTATGCCATGATTTTTTCTTTTGTCATCAAGCATACTTACAGAGGCTTTAAAATGTATTTTAATGCCACTACAGTATATGTTTAAGGGTTTAAAATATATAAGATATTTTCAAAATGCTGTCTTTTCCCCTCCTTCTGAAGTGTCGGGCGTGTGTGAATATATTTGCTAGGGGGATAATATTTATTTCATATACTTGTCCTATCAAAAGCTTAAAGAACTTTTGAAAGGACAAGTATAATGTGCACATATTTTGTATATGGCTTATATAAGTAAGCTAAGAGTATAAATTGATTTCACCTAGTGTATTTCATATCTATAGTAAACACTTAAAGTTGTGTGATGTTTGGAGGAAAGATTGCTGCTAGAATTCAGCTTCCTGAAGATAGTAGCCATGTCTGTCTTCTTCACTGGTACATCCCAAGTACAGGATCCCACATGTTACAGATGCCTGATGGACACTTGTTTAATGGTTAATTAAGTGAATAAAAGCTATTGTGGGTCATGCCTGGGAGTATAGATTAATAGGGCTTGTTAAATTGTTCCAAATTAAGAGAAGTACTTTGATTATTTGTGATTGTGGACATGGTTCTATATTAAGATTTGCTGAAACTATATTGGCATAGGTAACGTGTTTTATTTTTATTGATTGATTTTAAAGGGAGACAAGAGAGAAACATCAGTTTGTTGTTCCATTTGTTGGTTGAGTCTTGTATGTGCCCTGGCCTGAGATGGAACCCAAAACCTGGGGATGATGCTCTCACCGTGAGATAGGAGACAGGAAAGACCATCTAAAGGATAATTAGCTGCATCAAAAACTATGCATTTTGCTTTGACTGAATGAATATAGAATTTGCATAATCAAGATCTTCTAAGCTTTATGCCAGAAAGTTCTATGTAAAGAAGTGCTAGTGCCGGGACCAGTTTGGCTCAGTGGATAGAGCGTCGGCTTGGGGACTGAAGGGTTCCGGGTTCGATTCTGGTCAAGGGCATGTACCTTGGTTGCGGGCATATCCCCAGTAGGGGGTGTGCAAGAGGCAGCTGATAGATGACTCTCTCTCATCGATGTTTCT